GAAAAAATACAATTTCAGAAACTATTGAAAAATTAAAGAAACTTTTATCAAAAATGTTATATAACGAGACTAAAAGTAAATTTAATTATAATTCGGCTGAACTTCATGAAAGTGAAAGAGAAGGAATTTCAAAAGCGTTAGAATTTTTACTTCAATTAATAGATAAACTAAATTCTGAAGATATTGAAAAAGGTATAATTTCGAGTCAACCTATAAAAATAAATTTAAAATAAATTTTAATGAAACTCCAATATGCGATATTTTAGATCAATTTTTAGAATATATAATTACTTATATAACATATCAAGATAAGTTGTTATTTTATTGGTGCTTGAATACAACATTATATCATTTGTATAATATATTATATATAACATTATTAGATTCTATTTATATAATAGGAGTAGAATATTATACTAATAAGAGTGATCTATTAATGCATGTTTTTATATCTATTTTAATGGATATTATTACAGATAGATGCAGTAAGGAATTATTTATCGAAAAAAAGAATGAAAGAGCAACTTTAATATTAAATAAATATACATCCATAGATAATAAATTAAATAACATTTTATCTCGTGAACATTTGAAAAACCATATTTTACCAAAAAGATTTAAAGAAGAAGCGGAAACAGAAAATATTTCAATTTTCCCATATATATTATCTTATTTTATGACAGAGAATGAGAGACTCTTATTTTTATACAAAAATTTTATTTTAACGAAGAATAAAGTTGATAATGACAATTCAACAAACTGGTTCTCAGAAGAAGAATATATAAAAATATTAAAAAATATTTCTCAACCATTATCTTTACATTTTTCAAGATATGATAAGAATAAATTGATAGAATTAGTCCCAAAATTATTAACAATATTTTCGAATAAAAATAATATTAATTCTAAAACAATTTATCAAGAGCTAAATAATAACGTTAAGAAATTAGAAGAATTTGAAAGTAATAAGAATTCTAATATATCCATAAGTTTAGGAAAAAACATAAACGAATTAATGGAAACAGATTAAAAAGAAAAACTAGTTATCTACAATTAGAGAAAAAATAATTTTACTTCTACATTTAGGACAACAAATTTCATTATTTAAAATAATTTCTAAATAACATTTTTTACACAGTATAAGATGACCACATGGGATAAGAAGTATTTCTAAAGAATTTTTCTATACTTTCAATACATTTATATTTAGATTTACTTTTAATTTTTTCTTTGAATTTATTATTTATAAGATCCTTAATTTTTATACTTTCAGTGACAGTAATTAAATCATTTTTAATTTTTTTTGTTTGAAGGTGGACAATTCTTAGTTTTAATTTCAAGAGAAATACTTTCATTATTACAAAATATGATATCATTTAATTCATCTATTTTAGATAAAAAATCTATTATTGTAAACATATTTTTACTATCAATTATTTGTTTTTTTAAATAATAAAAAATAATATTTTTAAGATTTGGATATTTTATTTTTAAATCATTAAGTAATGGTAAAGTTAATAATTCATCTATATCACTATCTGTAATTTTGAAAGAATCCTCTTTATTAATAGGCTCATATAAAGGTCTTGGGGGAAAACCTTTTTTGAACTTCATCAAAAAATGAATGCGATTTTTTTAACTTTAAAAATGTACAATTAGGAGACCATCTTGCATGTTCTATCCAAGGATCATCTATATTAAACCAATTCCTTAAAATTATTCCACAGAAAAAGCAACAAAAAGAATCACCAAAACCATAAGATTTATGAAATCCATACTTTGCAAAAAAACCTGCATTTGTCAATTCATCTACTGGTGGAATTTTAAAGATATCTATAGTTTTACAAGGACCAAATGTGTTTTCTCTCTTTTCAACTGTATTATACATTTCATATATAGGTTTATTGGGCAATACTAAATTAGAGTACTTAGTTGTTAGTTCTTCTAGTTCTGGAAAGAGAAAAAAAAAGAAATTTCTTTAACATTTAAGTATAATATTACTAATATCTATATTTTTTTATGTCAGTATTACCAGTTCATTTAATAAATTAAAAAGAATTACCTGTGTGTTTTTTTGTATTTTCGATATGTTTAGAATAAATTTTTGAGAATATATTATTATATTCTAATGGTACATTAAATGTCCTTTGTTTGTTTATAAATTTACAATCAGGTTTAAATCTTCTATGCTCTCTTTCAATATCATCGGTATTTTCCCATTTGGCTAATATTAGTTTGCAAAATGAACATGCAACAAAATCTGAATATTTTAAATAATAAAATCCATTTTTTGCCAAATCTTTTGGTTCTATAAAATTTTTTGGCCAATATATAAAACTTTCTAGTCTATTTCTTTCATAAAAAAAATTATTTCCGTCATTTACAATTTTGTATGGAAGTAAACTTTTTATAAAAGGGCAATTTGGATTATTTATTAAATGGTAATTTGTTAAATCAAGATCTAAATTTAAATTTTTAATATCCAATTTTAAAAAACATTTAAAACAAATAACTTCATTATTATTTCTTAATATAAATCCATTTTTAGCTAGTATATAAGAATCAATTCTAGAATTTTCAAATTGATTATACAAAAAAGTTTCGTGTCTTTTATCAATATTATCATAAATTTCAGAATTTTCCATTTTAGAAAAGTAATAAAAAAAGTACCAAAAAAAAGTATTAATACTATTTCCTGAAGAAAAAAGAAAATACTAAAAAAAGTAATAATGTTATTTCTTAGAGATACAAGAGAGCACTAAGCATATTCAAATTCAATCTCTTTATATATACTAAAATAAATAATAAAATTTACATAAAAAAACTAGTATAAGTAAAAAAAACGAAAATCTATGGGAAATTAACTTCAATACAGAATATTATATCACTTCTACAAATTGGACATAAATTATTTATTCTTATGAAACATTTTTTACATATAAAATGTGCACATGGAATAAGACATAATCGTACTTTTTCAAAACAAATTAGACAAGTAGTTTCGTCATTTTCACTAATATTTTTAACTTCATATTTTTTTAATGAATTTATTATTTTGATACAATCTTTTTTTAGTAAAAAATCATTAGATTTAAAATTAATATCATTTATATTATTTAAGTTAATATTTCTTATTTTCTGTTTTTTTGTAATTTTGTCATAATTTAAATCATCTTTAATTGTTTCTATATTTTAATTTTATGATATAACATATATTCTTGAAAACATGTGCTATCTGATATTTTAAAACTATATGAATAATTAATAATGTCATTTTCTAAACGTTCAAGTGCTTTTTTAAAAATTATATCTTTTTCTTGCTCCATTAATTGAATATTTTTTTTCATGTTCTTTTCATTTTTAACAAAGAATCTAATGCTTTTAGTTATAACTGAAATTAACTCTTTATGTGTAATTATGTCCGTTTCTATAATATTATCTAGAGAAGATAACTTATTTCTATAATCTTGAATATTAGTAAAAAGACACCCGTCTTTAAGAATTTTCGTTTTTATTATAGAAAAAATAATATCTTCAGAAATTTTCTTTCCATTTGAAATTGTTACGTTATTATATAATGGTAAAGAAGTTAATTTAAATATGTCATTATCATCTATTTCTATGGGTATAAATTCTGGCTCTATCGGTTCATAAAATCGTCTTGGCGGATATTTTTCATGAACTTCTGTTAAAAAACTTTGTTCTTTTCTCATTTTTACATATAAACAATTTGGAAAATATCTTATATGTTCTATCCAAGGATCATCAAACGAGCACCAATTTTTTAATGATCCATTACAAAAAAAGCAAATTAGAATACAACAATTTTGTTCTTTTTTAAAAAAAAATCCAGCATCAACTAATTTTGAAATTTCTATTTCGTTAATTTTGCTAAGTTGTAAAAATGATTTTCTTCTTTCTCCTTCATTTCGTATTGCTTGTGTTTTGGTTCTTCTTTTTTATGTATCCTCTTGTTCTCTTGTATTATAATATCAATTTCTGAAAAGGAAATCTTTTTTTAATCTTTATAAAAAAAATATTTTTAAAAAAAGATAAAAAAAATTAGATAAAAAAAATAAGAAAGTAAAGTTATAATTACCATTTAATGTTCCTTTTTTTTGTTCTGAAGCTCTTTTAAATTGAAAAAATAATTTATTGCATAAATTAGTAAATTTTAAAGGCACATTTAAAGTTTTCTCATTTAAAATTAATGGACAATTTGAGTTTATTGAATGTTCTTTTTTTATATCTTCGAGCAATTTCGGTCTTTGTATTACTTTATAACAAAAGATACACGCTATAAAATTATTCTCTTTTAAAAAATAAAATCCATCTTTTGCTAGATCTGCTGGGTTTAAGTTGTCATTAGACCATTCTATGAATGTTTCTATTCTATATTTTTCATAATATAGATTATTAATTTCGTTATAAATTTTATTTGGTATAATTTTTAGTATAAAAGAACATTTTGGGTTTTTTTCAAGATGAAAATTTGTTAAATCTATCGATCCATCTAAATTACTTATATCTTGAGAAGTAATAAAAAGTTTACAATTGAAGCAAAAGATTTCTCTGTTTTTAAAAATAAAACCATTTTTTGCTAATAATGTACAAAATTTTTGTCCATAATCGGAAAATTTTTTTTCTTTCAAGCCTTTAAATGTGTCTAATCTATTTTTCATTATATTATAATCAATTTTCTTTTGTTCTTCCATTATAATTTTCTTGTAAAATTATTCTTTAAAAATTATATGTTCTCTCTTAAATACTTATTGTATATATGAATATAACAAAAGATGAGTTGTTCTTATATAGGATTAGTATTAAATTATAACTAAGTCATAATTCTTTATTAGACCATTTCATTAAATTTCATGCATTAATTATGAAAATATTTAAAAGTAATAAATTACAAAATTTCATGGATTAATTATAACATTTAAAAATAATAAATTACAAATAATCATTTGTTATAAAATAGTAAATTATAATAAAGTAATGAAAAAAAAAACGAATCATTCATATTTTAAACAGATTAATGATTCAATTTCTTTTCTACAAAGTGGACACTTTTTTTGATCTAATTTTAAATAACAGTTTTTACAAAAAGCGATATGAGTACATGGTAAAAATACAATTTCTCGTCCTTTTTCAGTGCAAATACAACATACATCATTTAAACTATTATTTCTTAGATTAGATAAAATTCTCATCTCAAATTCGTTCAAATCATCATTCTTTATTTCTGTGTAATTTTCTAATATTTTTTCTCTTGAAGTTTTCTTTTTCAGTATTGGTTTTATTTTTTTTTTAGGATCATACCTTTTCTCTACTAATTTTTTTACATCTTTTTTCAGAATAAATTTTCCAGTATTACTAATATCACAAACCCTTTCAGCCAAATTAAAAAAATGTGAGCGATTTAAAGGTATGCATCCATTTTCTAATATTTCTTTTTTTATTACATAAAAAAGTACTTCATCTGTGGAAAAATCTTTGAATCTCTCAAACATAGGTAGAGACAAAATTTTTTTCATATCATTTTCAGTTAATTCGTAAATTTCATTCTCTTTTATAAATGTTTTTTTATTTAAATTATTTAATGTATAATAGCAATGTTTAATAAAATTGTCTCCTTTCATTACACGTAAAAAAGAACAAGTTGGGAACCATTTTGCATGTTCTATCCAAGGATCATCTTCTCTGGACACAGTTCTAATTTTCCCAGCACAATAGAAGCAACAGGTTTCGTTCTTATCTGTAAAAGAAATTTATTTTATTAAACATATTTAAATTTTTATTATATAAAATTAGTTGAAAAGATAAAATTGAAAGAAATTTACCTTTTATTAAAAAAATCCAGCTTCAACTAATGTTTCTAAATTTGGAAAATTTCCTTTAAATATATCTTCAGTATTATCAGCTGGAGGAAAAGTACGTCTTCTTCTTTCAAATGTTGAAAATCTTGGAATTAGAGGAGTATTACTTGGAACTATATCTGAAAAACAAATATTTTTTTTATTAAAAAGACGTTTTATTTTTTTTGTTAAATTTTTTTTGTTTGGATTTTTTTTATTTTAAATACTTACCATTTAGTTTTAAAGGTGGTAAATTTTTTTGATGTATATATTGTATTTTTGAAAATAATTGAGTGAATTTTATTGGTATATTTTCAGTTACATAACCATTTAAAAATCTACAGTTGGGCGAATGTTTTTTATGTTCTTGAATTGGAATGTCACCAGGATCAAAATAATAAATTCCATGAGTACAAAATTCGCAATAAACTCTATCTTCAAAATTTACATAATAGAATCCATTATTTGCTAAATCTGATTGTTTTATATAATCTAGTGGCCAATTTAAAAAGCTTTCAAGTCTTCTTCTTTCAAAAATAAAAGAATTAAAATTATAATTAGCTTTTAATAAATTTGTTCTTATTATAAATTTACAATTTTTACTATGTTCAATATGATATCCCAAAATATCAGTATTATTTGGAATATCTTGTAAATTTATCTCTAAATTACAATAAAAGCAACTTATTTTGAATTTTCGTTTAAAATAAAACCAGCACTTGCTAAGGTTTCAAAATCTTCTTCATAGGGTAATTTTGAATAAGTTGATAACCTCGAAGTTAATAATTCAAATTTTGAAATATTCATTTTTTCTATAATAATTATACAAGTATCTTATTAAGGTATTATATTAAAGTTAAGAACGTACTGATGAAATTAGATTTCAGTTACTTATATATAGTATATATAAAATATAATTTATCTTCTTAGTATATTATTTATATCACTTTATTCCATATTTTCTGATGCAGTCATTTTTTTATACCACGACCAAGAAGGTAAAACATCAAAATTAATTTCCAAAAAACTTCTATCAAGACTTAAACTAGTATCGACACTTCTTATATATTCGTTTAAATCTGTTTTCCTTTTTGGTTTTGTAATATAAAGTGAATGATAATCATTATATATAGTAATACAACCACCCAAATTTTGGAATTTTTCTTCTATAAATATCCTAGCGTAAAATTTTTCAGATTCATGTTCAAATCGTACTATTGCTTCATGAATTTGTGTTAGGTTTTTATCACCCGTTCTAGGTTTTTGTAAATAATATTTCCTAAAAATATATAGTCTATCGATAGTTCTTTCATCTATTGGCGTAATATTTAAAGCTCCTGGATCTTTTTTATTAATATTAACCCCATCTATTTCATAGTAGTCTCTTTTTAAATATTTTTGAACAACTAATAGAATTTTCATTTCTTCTAAAAATGATTTATCATCTTTTATATCTTCATCGAATGAAACAATTTCACGATAATTCCCATTTGGAACAACAATTTCTATATCATACATTAATAAGTCCATCTTTTTTATATTTAAAGTTTTTTCGTTTAGATATTATCTAAAGAAATTAATTTATTTTAAATTCTTATATACTATATTTATTAATTTCTTATTTTTTATATTTTAAAAAAAATAAGAAATATGTGAAAGTAAGTATTATTTAGTACAAATATAGTTACTAAATTTCTGTAAAACAAATTTATCTTCATTGGAATAACGGGAAAAAAATTTGTCTTCTATATAAAATAATTTAGCGTTACTAATATTAGGATCTTTTTTTTCTTCGTTTCTTTCCCATTCTACTCCTACCATATCAATATAACTTTCGTATAAAAATAAATCCATAAATTTTTTTTCTTTTAAAATATTATATTTCATATCTATAAAATAATTCATTTTGTTATAATCGTCAAACCAATTTTCTAGGACCATTTTTTTATCGAGCATATTTCGATCATTCCATACTTGTGGATGGTGAGGTTCATTATATATATGAATGTTCCGAGAAATTTTCCAAAAAAAATCAAGTTTATCTTCATCAATTGAATGATCTAATGTACCTAAATTTTTTTTACTATGAATAAATTTCAATGTATATCCAATTGATTGTTCCAAAGAAAATTTTGTTAAATCATGTCGGTCTATAATTTTCTCTAATTTTTCGACGAAATTATCAGAATTATAAATATAATTTTTTATCCTTAAAAAAGCGTTCTTTACCCAAAATCTATGAGATTTTATCTGCTCAAAATTATCTTTAATACCAAAAAAAAACCAAAGAACGTTGAATATTACAGTATCTTTATTAGTTATATCGTTTTCATCATAAATTATAGGAGAATGAAATTTGTAACCCGATAGGATAACTATATAATTTAAATGTTCTTCGTTAAAATAATTCTTTTTTACTGCGTAATTTAAAATGAGTTTTTCTGCATTTCTTTTCATTGCTTTTGACCAAAATTTCATAATAATATACGCTATGTCCAAATATACGGAATTTTCTTGATTCGTTAATTCTTTAAATTCCATTTCTTTATTTTTTGGTATTAATGTTGAAAGAAACTCGTATATTTCTTTTCTCGTATTTGGGATTTTACTTAAATTTTCAATATCATTATTTGTAAGAATTTCCATTTCTGTACTCATTTCAGATCAAATAAAATAATTTTTTATGAATATTAAAGAATATAACGAGTAAAGATTAATTCTGTTTTTTTTATAGTAATAATTTTAACTCTCTTTAAAAGAATCTTAATATAGAATGCTGTAAATTTAAATATTTGCATGTATTTATAATTGCTTATTTTTTTTCTTTTCTTTCTATTTTATTAATTAATGCACTAATGTTGTAGTATGTAAGTATTATTTTACTAATAATGTAGTAGTAGTAGTAGTAGTAGTATGTAGTAGTAGTATAGTGTAGTAGTAGTAGTAGTAGTTAGTAGTAGTAGTTAGTAGTAGTAGTAGTAGTAGTAGTAGTAGTAGTAGTAGTAGTAGTAGTAGTAGTAGTAGTAGTAGTAGTAGTAGTAGTAGTAGTAGTAGTAGTAGTACGTTAGTAGTAGTAGTAGTAGTAGTAGTTAGTAGTAGTAGTAGTAGTTAGTAGTAGTAGTAGTAGTAGTAGTAGTAGTAGTAGTAGTAGTAGTAGTAGTAGTAGTAGTAGTAGTAGTAGTAGTATTGGATATTTAAAAATTAAATTCTTTTCTTATTTTATTAGACAGTATTTTGAACACGTATAAAATTTCACAGGTAGAATAAATATAATAATTAGTGTTTAGGTAAATAGTAGGTAAATAGTAATAGTAGGTAAATAGTAACATTTTTTTACATTTCATAGTAGGTAAATAGTAACATTTTTTTTACATTTCATAGTTTACATTTCATAGTAGGTAAATAATAACATTTTTTTTACATTTCATAGTTTACATTTCATAGTAGGTAAATAATAACATTTTTTTTTACATTTCATAGTTTACATTTCATAGTAAGTAAATAGTAACATTTTTTTTTACATTTCATAGTAGGTTACATCTCATAGTAAATAAATAGCCCTTTACATTTCATAGTTTACATTTCATAGTAGGTAAATAATAACATTTTTTTTACATTTCATAGTTTACATTTCATAGTAGGTAAATAATAACATTTTTTTTTACATTTCATAGTTTACATTTCATAGTAAGTAAATAGTAACATTTTTTTTTACATTTCATAGTAGGTTTACATCTCATAGTAAATAAATAGCCCTTTACATTTCATAGTTTAACATTTCATAGTAGGTAAATAATAACATTTTTTTTACATTTCATAGTAGGTTACATCTCATAGTAAATAAATAGCCCTTTACATTTCATAGTAGGTAAATATACATCTTATAGTTGAACTTTTACTTTTACATTTTAATGACTGTTTTAACAGGTAAACATAGTGTCATCTGATTCTCGAGGTGACAAAAATGAAGTTGGTAAAGTTGCATCTTTCATATTTTGGAATTCTTCTATGTCAATTGAATTGAATACTCTGTCGAATATGACTTTACTTTTTCTGTCTTCAGACATTTCACACCATTGATTGTAAGTTTCAAGTATTTCTTTTTTACCATTTGCTAAGGGTCTAAAAGAACGTGCTTTGTCAGTTTCATCTGGAAATTCATGAAAGGTTCTATCATATATATTTGTGTTAAACCAAAGCCATCGTATGACAAATCCTTCATACGCATTACTATTTTCAGTTATTTTTAAAATTAAATTTTTGGCTAATTGATCTATTTTTCTGAACATATAATTTCTGATATCATTGTACAAGTCTGTAGTACATTTACTGTTTAACAAATTTAGCATTTCAGCATCACTGTTAACTAGTCTGTTTATTACTTCTTTAATATCTTTTGGTTTTTCACTCAATTCAAAGAAAGACATATGAAATAATGTTCTTTGTATTCTTTCTTTTGGAGGCATTTTCTTGTTGTATAGAGCATTACTCTCTAGATTCTCAATTCTAAACTCATCAAAATCTGTGTTTTTTGAAATGTCTATTTTTTGTAAGTTTGCTAGATCTCCTAGTTCAGTTACAGTTGTTCCAGCAGTCTTCCCTTTTATTACTGATATGAAATTTGCCTTTTTAAAAAGAATCATTATGTATCTCATAAGAAAGATCATCAAACACATAAAAAATTCATCAGAGCATGCAAATGAAACATTGGAATTGTTATATTTTTGAGCCAAGTGAATGAATATTGATTTTATATTTGTCAGAGATATTCTTGTGTAATCACTATATATATTTTCTGGATCTTTAAAAACTGCTCTCATATTATCTATAAATTGTTTGAATGGCAATTTTAGTTCTTTTGAACTTTTCTCTTTTCTCCTTTGTTGCAATTCTTCTTTTGGTATGCTTTTGTCTGAGGGATAGCAATAATTATATATTCCATCATTTTTTTATATTTATATTTTCCTCTTTGGCCTTTCGTATAGTATTTCATATAAGCATCTCTTTTAGCTACTATACTATGAAGGTGACATGAATTTGGATCATTTTTTTTTGTCTTCCCTTCTTTTTTATTCTGTTTTAGTATATCAGATCTTTCTTTTCCTTTCATTGCTTTAACATATTCAGAAATTATTTCGGCTGTTTTTTCAACTTTCTTATTTTCTGATTCTGCATCAATGTGTACAGTCAATTCAGATGACCACAACATATTTTCTCTTATTTCTTGCTGTTTCTTATTACTTTTACGAAAAAATTTCTTTCTTTGATGTTTTTCTTCAGTTTCGCTGTCTGAACTATCCATGTTTTGTACTTTTGAATTTTTCCGTTTTTTATATTTCTTCTTTCTTTTTTCCGTCTTCTGTTCTTTTAAATGTAATTGTTGTGGTCCATCTGTATCTGACATTAGACTTGTATCTGTTGTTTCATCGTTTTTTTTATTTCTTTTTAGTTTATTCCCAAGACTTGATTCATGTATTTCAGTATTTGTTGTACTACAAGCTACTTTTTTGTTGTCATGTGAAAAAGTTTTAATTGTGTGATCAGAATTATCAGAATTAAAATTGCTTGTGCTTGGAAGTAATTCTGGATTAGGCTTACTTGTTTGTTTATCTTGACTAGACATATTTTTACTTTTTATTCTATTTAAATATGCCCGGTGATTTCTTTCTTGTATGGCTTCATATTTCATTCTTTCTTCGGGTGTGAGACATTCAAGATTTTTACGAGGACGACCTCTTTTCTTTGGTACTTTGTTTTTATCAGTTTGTTTTTGCTCTTCTGTACGTCTTACATACTTTCTCTTTTGTTTTTGCTTTTGTTGTTTATTATCTGTTACTAGAGCAAATACAGATTTATCAAGTTTATCAGTATGTACTTTATTAGATCCATGACCAGGTTCATTTATATATTTATTAGGTTCATGATTAGTAGATTCATGGCCAGAATCAATAGCAATAGGTTTAGCATTACCTATACTAAAAGTAACAGGTTTAGTTGAGCAAATTTTTGTACCAATACTAGGGTCAATTAAGTTTTGATTACCTTGATCAGTTACAATAGTATCATATGTGCTTATATTTGCAATATTCATGGATGTTCTTAGAATGTCATTATTTGGTATTTCCACAAATTCATTGTTGACAGAAGTAAAAGTCTCTATTGTCTCTTGTGTTAGTTTATCTTGATTTTCGTCTAATTTATTTTGGTCTAAGTTCTCTTGGCAATTGCTTATTTTCTTATGTCCAACAATTTGGTAAGATTTTGTTTGTTTATCAGAAAAAGGACTTATTGGTGCTTGAGTACAAAATATGTTATTTTCCAATAAATCACTTAGTTCATTTTGGGATAAATTAGTACAAATAGTCGAACTAATATCAATTTGTGTCTTTGGATCAGAATCAATTGGTACTAACTTATCAGATTTTGATTTTACAACCTTTGGTGTTTTAGGAAAATCAAGATCAGGCAAAGTGTTTAATGCTTTTAAAAAAGCATGCTCATTTTCTTTTTCGTTTTGTCTTTTATCTTTGTCTTTTGCTTTTATTTCTTTCTTTTTCTTCTTTGGCTCTAAGTCTTTTAGTCTTCTAAATGTAGATAATTTGTTCTTTTTCTTCTTATTAATGGGCTCTATTAATTTAGATGTTTGGTTATCCTTTTGTTCTGATATCTTCACATCTGTAGTGGTTATAGGTATCTTTGTAGGATTATATTCTTCAACATTCTTAGATACTGAATCTGTTACAAGTGTTTGTTCTTTTTGTCCATTTCTAAGTTCCTGTATCTTTCTATCTATTTCTTCTTTTTTTCTGTCTATGTCAAGAAGTATTTCAGGAGTAGTGCTCATTTCAAATTCCTGATCAAAGTTAATTTCAGAAAGCTTATCATATATATAAGTATGTTCAGAGATATTATTATCATAAGCAGGTGTATTAACAGGAGTGTATGTATATTCTGGTGTTAACACAACTTTATGTTTTGGTATTTGTGCATCTATTTCATCTGATAACTTTATTATGCTAGCTTTAGAGTGACTAAGATTATTTATCAATTCTAAATGTTCATTTGTAAGATGTGCTATTAAATTTGTAATGTTCATGTGATTTTTTATGGTATTTGTTTCTTTTTCACAAATACGACAATTATTTACTATCTTTCCATTTGAGTAAGAAAGATAGTACTTACACACTAAGATACGTTCTGATTTCTTATTCTGCAGTATTTTATACTCATTCAAATATGTCTCACAATGTTTTAAGAAAGCACTACTGTCTGTATAAGCTGTTGGTTCCTTACTAACTTGTTGTAATGCTATAGTTATTTGTTTGCAATTTTCTTGTGTTGCTTTCTCTTTGAGTAGATTCCACCAAGTAATTTGGATATCTTGTCTTTCATCCGATATTGTAGAAATACTTTCAACGTCATCATCACTATAAGGAAGCTGGCAACTTCTGAAAATAAATAACGTAATATTAATATATACGTTTCGCAATAGATTTACACAAACTAAACCAATAACAGTTTTAAGTTCAATCTATATAGTTCTTAGATTGTACTAAGTCTACGGTCATTTTTAAATTCACAACAGCAGATTTATACTAAGTTTACGTTATTCCTAAATTGAACTAAGTCCACACGGTCAGCAGATTTATACTAAGTTTACGTTATTCTTAAATTAAACTAAGTCCACACGGTTGTCCTTAAATTGTCTAAGTCCACACGGTTATTCTTAAATTGAACTAAGTCCATATAGTTATCCTTAAATTGTCTAAGTCCACACAGTTATCCTTAAATTGAACTAAGTCCATATAGTTATCCTTAAATTGTCTAAGTCCACACAGTTATCCTAAAATTATCTAAGTCCACACGGTTATTCTTAAATTAAACGAAGTCCACATGGATATAAAACACTTTGTTTTATACTTACGATGGAAGAATTGTAGTTATTTTATCCATCTTCTAAATACGAATTCATGTAAAGATGTTATTGGAGACTACATCCACAATGGTTTTCAGAGACTAAGTCAGGAACTGTTGACCGGAGACTATGTTCACGATGGTTTTCAGAGACTAAGTCAGGAACTGTTGACCGGAGACTATGTTCACGATGGTTTTCAGAGACTAAGTCAGGAACTGTTGACCGGAGACTATGTTCACGATGGTTTTCAGAGACTAAGTCAGGAACTGTTGACCGGAGACTATGTTCACGATGGTTTTCAGAGACTAAGTCAGGAACTGTTGACCGGAGACTATGTCCATATTAGTTTTCAAATGTTTCTGGAGACTATGTTCAAAAAAACACAGAAGTAGAGATACCAAAGATGCGACGAGAAGAACAGCGTTGTCGGTCTGAATACTAATGAATGCTCGCTTCGACTTATATACAAAATATCAGCAAAAAATATTGATGATAAGCACTGATAAAATGATATGTCATGGACGTGCTCTACGATATCGTAAATAATCTACTGATAAAATGTATGTAATGGCTTAAAATAGCAATTACTTGGTAGGATATACTGATAATCAGACCACATGCAACGCCGATATCTGGAATTCTATGAATTTAATAACTATTTTAATTACTCGTTTATTATCCTATATACCATATATGAAATTTAATATCGTTTTAATAACTCTTAAATAACAACTTAATAGCAATTAAATCACAATTTTTATTTTTCGGAAATTCTTCCATCAAGTATGCCTCTTAATAATCGAAGGACAAGAAAAGATAACCAAATTGAATTAGACATTCAAGGTATGAAGATAAAACCTACAACGTATTTGATATCAAGGACGAAGATACGAGAAGATATAACCAGGATTTAATTGGCGAAGAGATATAACCAGAACGTATTAGATCTTTAAGATGAGGAGATATAACCGGAACGTATTAGATCTTTAAGATGAGGAGATATAATCAGAACGTATTAGAGGAGATATAACCGGAACGTATTAGATCTTTAAGATGAGGAGATATAATCAGAACGTATTAGAGGAGATATAACCGGAACGTATTAGATCTTTAAGATGAGGAGATATAACCAGAACGTATTAGATCTTTAAGATGAGGAGATATAACCAGAACGTATTAGAGGAAATATAACCGGAACGTATTAGATCTTTAAGATGAGGAGATATAACCGGAACGTATTAGATCTTTAAGATGAGGAGATATAACCAGAACGTATTAGATCTTTAAGATGAGGAGATATAACCAGAACGTATTAGAGGAAATATAACCGGAACGTATTAGATCTTTAAGATGAGGAGATATAACCAGAACGTATTAGAGGAAATATAACCGGAACGTATTAGATCTTTAAGATGAGGAGATATAACCAGAACGTATTAGAGGAAATATAACCGGAACGTATTAGATCTTTAAGATGAGGAGATATAACCAGAACGTATTAGAGGAAATATAACCGGAACGTATTAGATCTTTAAGATGAGGAGATATAACCAGAACGTATTAGAGGAAATATAACCGGAACGTATTAGATCTTTAAGATGAGGAGATATAACCAGAACGTATTAGAGGAAATATAACCGGAACGTATTAGATCTTTAAGATGAGGAGATATAACCAGAACGTATTAGAGGAAATATAACCGGAACGTATTAGATCTTTAAGATGAGGAGATATAACCAGAACGTATTAGAGGAAATATAACCGGAACGTATTAGATCTTTAAGATGAGGAGATATAACCAGAACGTATTAGAGGAAATATAACCGGAACGTATTAGATCTTTAAGATGAGGAGATATAACCAGAACGTATTAGAGGAAATATAACCGGAACGTATTAGATCTTTAAGATGAGGAGATATAACCAGAACGTATTAGAGGAAATATAACCGGAACGTATTAGATCTTTAAGATGAGGAGATATAACCAGAACGTATTAGAGGAAATATAACCGGAACGTATTAGATCTTTAAGATGAGGAGATATAACCAGAACGTATTAGAGGAAATATAACCGGAACGTATTAGATCTTTAAGATGAGGAGATATAACCAGAACGTATTAGAGGAAATATAACCGGAACGTATTAGATCTTTAAGTTGAGGAGATATAACCAAAACGTATTAAATCTTTAAGATGAGGAGATATAATCAGAATGTATTAGATCTATAATCAGAACGTATTTAGATCTTTAATGTTTTAGGAGAGATACAACCAGAATGTATTAGATCTTTAATGTTTTAGAAGAGATACAACCAGAACGTATTTAATGTTTTAGAAGAGATAAAACCAAGATATAAATCTATAATTAGGATGCATTAGGAAATATAATTAGGACATACCAAATTTTTGAGATGAGGAGATATAATCAAGTTGTATTAGATCTTAAAAAAGTAAATTTTGAAGAAAAAAATTCTGAAGAAAATAAAAATAGAAAAATTTTTTTTTCTGAAAAAAAATAAATTTTTGCGTATAAAAAAATGTTGCAGAAAAATTTTTGAACAGAAAAAAATATTTTATTTTTTATACCAATTTAATAAATATTAATACGAAATTTTTATTACATTTAAATTACAATTTTTCTTATGACAACATATTTTTTCATGCCTATTTTTTTGAATTACAACATATATATATATTTATACTTTTATCTATAATTACAACACATTTTAAATTTTATCTATAATTACAACACGTTTTAAATTTTATCTATAATTACAACACATTTTAAATTTTATCTATATTTAAATTATAATTACAACATATTTTAAATTACAAGTTTCAAAAGTCACAGATATTTATAATTTCATAAGTTGTACAAATTTTGCATGATCCGTTTTTTCAAGATTTGGAAATAATTGGTTTAAGACAGCTTGTTTAGTAATATATTTATCAACATAAGTTCCAATTCTATACAAAAGTCCTAAATCGTGTTTTAAAGTTCTATTTTTATTTGTCATATAAGAGAGTAAAGATGGATTTTTTAGTAATGGTTCATCATTTTTTGTTATCCATGGAAATTCGCTAAGAATGGGTAAAAAGTCATTAACATTGTATAAAACACCATTCCATAAAACTTTAAATACATATCGAAATCTAAAAATAAGACCTTCCATTTCTGTTTCGTTTATCTTTTGTTTTATTACTTTTGTATCAATATCAGTTTCTATAGCAAATCCTTCAAGATGCATATTTTTAGCATTTGTTACTGAAACTATACATCCTCCACTAGTATTTGATTTAGAAGTATTAAAATTTGTTTTATTAACAATTGATGATATATAATTTTTAAAAACTATATTAACTGCATTAGGATCAAATGAATATTGAATATCTTGTCCAGGTAAAGAGTATTGGGTATCTTTTGATGTACTGGGTCTAGGTAAAGAGTATTGGATATCTGTGCTGGGTTCAGGTAAAGAATATTGGATATCTTTTGATGTGCTGGGTCCAGGTAAAGAGTATTGGATATCTTTTGATGTGCTAGGTCCAGGTAAAGAGTATTGGATATCTGTATTGGGTCCAGGTAAAGAGTATTGGACATCTTTTGATGTACTGGGTCCAGGTAAAGAGTATTGGATATCTGTGTTGGGTCCAGGTAAAGAGTGTTGGATATCTGTGCTGGGTTCAGGTAAAGAGTATTGGATATCTTTTGATGTACTGGGTTTAGATGTATCAAAATATTCATTCGATCCAAGTAAAAGATCATTTGATCCGACTGAATAATACTGAGTAGTACTAGAAATATTACTATGTTCAGGCAAAGTATATTGTACATTACTACGTTCAGGCAAAAAATATTGGGTATTACTAGATGACGAATATTCTATACTACTACACTGTGGTAAAGAATATTTTGTTCTATTAAATTCGATACTTTTATTTTCAAAGATATCAGAATCATGCTTCTTATATATTTTAAAAGCTGATTTTTTTGACTTTAATGCACAAGTTTCTGCATATTTTATAACGTTAGTAGTATTATTTTTTTTCTCATTCGTATCAAAATTTGCTTCTGATAAATTTGTCAAATGAAGAGTTTCTTCTTCTTCGTTGTCAGGTGTCCAAGGAACGTAATTTTTATCTATAAAGAAAAAAAAATTAATAAAACTAAATTTAGTACAAAATTATAAGTAAAATTAATAAAAAGTTATTAGAAGTAAAATTAATAAAAAAAATTATTAAAAGTAAAATTAATAAAAAATTATTAGAAATAAATTTACCTCCCATCTTGTTAAAACACGGGGAAATGATTTTATTCAATTTTAAATGTTGTATATATACTGTATGTGATGGCATAAAAATATTTTTCAATGGCATAAAAATACTAAATATATATTTATTTACGAAATAAAGAAGAATTATATTTTTAATTCTTTAAAGATGCTTTTAACTTTTTCTATTTTTGACATAAGTTTCAGTTTTTTTTTGGTACTTTTTTTTCTCAAAGATTCGAAATAATAAAAGTTATATATATATTTTTAAAAAACATAAGGTAATAAGGCTATATAAATAAGATTCTTTCAAAGTATAATAGTTCTTTATAGTAGCTTGAGCATTAACGAGTTAAAAAAACATATAAAATTTTTGTGGTACAGGTATTTTTTTTAATTTATTTAAATTTTATAATAAGTTTTACGCATTAACTTTTTTCGCTTAATTTATATTTTTCTATTTCAGATTACATAATGGATAACTTAATTCCGAAAACATCAACGTCTACGTTAAATAGACAAACTATGTTAGTAGATACATCGAAGATAAGTGTTGAAAAAATAGAACAATTTTTAAGTGATGAAAAGTCTACTGAAATAAACATACCAATTATAAATGTAAATTCAGAGAAAGAATTGAATGAGAATAATTTACACGAGATAAGTTTAGTTAATACTATATCAGACAGTACTCTTAAAGTAAATAATCTAAAAATTTCGATTATTGAAAAACCAATAAATTCAACAAATCTTAAAACGGATTTAAAAGAACAAAAAAAGGGACCAAAAATTTTAAACGATAAAAATAACTGTAAAAATGAAAAAAATAGAAAAAAAGTAACAGCACCAAAAAAAGTTATATGCGAGAAAATTTTACCAAAGATATGCCCAAAGTCTACTCTACAGAATTTAAACGCTCAAGCAATATCAAAAATTTTATTACCAGTAAACGTTTCTCCAGAGTCTTCAATATATAAGATAGTTCCAATAGAAAAAATAATGATTAACGAAAATTTTAAAAGAACTATTAAAAGTGAAGAAATTTTAACAAAAAAATTTAAAAGCGATAAATTAATTAAGAAAGATGCCTTTACACAAACAAATGAAAGAAATGAAAGAATGATTCATACTAAAATATATAAAAATTCTAGTGAAGAACTATATAAGAAATGGTTTTTTTATGATAAACAAGTAAAACTTTTTGAGTATTTAAAGATATATTGTGAATTAAAAAAACAGAAATATACTTGGCGATTAGAATATCCTAATGTTTCTATAAATGAGCAAACTAGTGATCTACTTCAAATTCAAAACATTTTTAATAATATATCGATTCCTACGAATAAAAAAACACTAAATTCTTTTAATCTCGAAAAGTTTTCAAACCAATTTAAAGAACCAGTAACTTTTGTTCAAATTCCGGAAACTTTTCAAGAATCTTCGCAAGAAACTTTTCAACAAATGCAAGAAATTCAAGTGCAAGAACCTTTACAAGTAGACAATTTTCAACAGGTTCAAGAACCTCTACAAGTTGGAACTTTTCAACAGATTCAAGAACCTTTACAAGTTTTTTTTAATCAAAATCAAGAAAATTTGTTAAGACCTTATAAAAAATCTAATAAATGTTTACAATCAGAATCCTTAAGTAAAGAACCATTAAAAGTGAAAAACTGTGAAGAAACTGATTTAAAAACAATAGAAATGAGTATTGAAGAACTTTTAAAAAGTTTGGAAAGTGAAATTGAAGATAAGAATACAAACGAAAGTGTTTCTACTAATTCAAAAGGAATTACCTTTAATAATTCAAATTCTTTTAAAGAGCTAAATCTTGATAATTTAGTTAATTTTTAAGATAGAAATGATTTTTAAGATAGAAATTTATTTGAACTTATAATAAATTTGAAAAGTGTCTCCATTTTTTTTTCATTTTCCGTTTTTTTTGTTTTTTCTTTAAATGAAAATCCGTTTATTATTATAGCTAATTTTAATATTTTAATTTTTTGCTCAAAAGATATATTATTGAAGAATATATCATCATCATTAGTTGCAGTTTTTAGATTATTATTTTTATCTCTATTGTTTATATAAATTTTTGAATTCATTGTAATATTTAATAATTTAAATGTAAAAATAAAAGTTATACTAATAAATATAATATTTTAATAACAATAATACAGTATAAGTATATAGAATTTAAATAAGACGTAGTTAAAAAGATAAATATAAAGTTTATCAAATATTCGTAATAATGAATGTTCTAAAAATACAGAAAAGAAAACTCAACGTAATAGAAGAAGAATATAAATATATAATAAATAAATCAAAGAGACTAGAAAGTGAATTATATAAAAGAACAGAACTAAATGCAGAAAAGGACATATTATCAAATAAAAATAATGTCACATTTAAAGAATTTTCAAATTTATTTAATGAAAAATTATTATTCTACAGTTATATAAATAATGAAAATGGATTAAATATTTTATCTGCTATTTATAATATATTTGTTAAAAATAACAATAAAGAGTTGAGTGAAAATTTATTAGAAAAAGAAAGCAATTTAGACTACAGAAAAAAAATTTATCTTTTAGTTGAGGATATGACATTAAATGAGCTTGAAAATTTTTTGGATAAAAGTTTTAACGAGATTAATATTTTTAAAGAATTAAATTCAGGAGATATAAAGATACCAGAATTTAGATATGAAAAAACTATTACATATAAAGATAAGAATGATTTAAATTGTATATTTTATAAGAAAAAAGATAGGTTGTCTAATTTAATAAAATTGCATAATTTAGGTGCAACTCAATTAAACATTGACAAAATTAATATAGAAAATTTTTATAAAACAGATGATTATTCAAAGTTAGACTACGAATTTTTTCATTGGTATTATGATACAATCTACATAGAAGAAAATTTTAAAAAAGACTCAGAAAGTGATATATTTCAACCATTTCAAGAAATAAATGAAATGAGATATTTCTACAATGACGAATTATTTTTAAAATTAAAAGACGATATTTTTAATAGAACTTTATATTCAGTAGCTATAGATGGGACTTCATCTTGTGGAAAAACAACACTAATTAATAATTTTTATAGCGATAAAATTTCGAATTATTCAGACTGCACAAAAACTTATAATATAAATCCAACATCAAGTCATTCTTACCTATATTTATATAGTGAGATGATAAAAACATCTAAATATTTAGTTTTAGATAGAAGTCCAATTTCAAATTTAGCATATCAAATATGTTATTATTTAATGGATAGACTTGGTAAAAATAAAAATATTTTAGATGATATAACTTTTACCGGTTTATGCAAAGAATATATTAAAATGCACAATTTAAAATCTACTTTAGAATTCATAAACTCCAATAATTTTAATATTATTATTATTATTGATAGTAATCTAGAAAAGATATCAGAAAGAATGTGTAAAAGAGGTGAAGCAACAGATTCTTTAAGTGACATTAATAGATCTGTCTTCAAAAATTACATTTTATGTCAAAATGCAGCATATTCATATTTAGCAAACGAACTAAATTACATGTGTGTTGACATAAATTATTTCAGAATAAAATATGAAATAGTTGATGAAAATTTATTGTTTGACATGATTCAAAGTAATCTAAAACAGTTTATTTTAAATTTTTTTAATTATATGTATTATTCAGATAAATATAATACAAATAATTTTAACGAACAAGAAATTTATAAGAATAAATTAAATAAAGATTTGTTCCTGAAAAGAAATAAATCTAATTATAATGATATAGATGAAATTATAGAGGAAACATTTAATAATAAGAGTAAAGATACAAGAGATAGTTCCATTATTGAATATCCAAAGATATCATATAAACAATCTTTTATGAATAAAAATCATATGATAAAAAATTATCTATATTCGTATATTATTTCAAAAAGGTAAATGAATACTACAGTAATATTTTTCATATGTTTATTAATAATTTTATTTGTGCTTTCATTATTTTTAACAAAAAATTTAAAATCTTTTAATTTACAATATAAAAATTTATTGAAAAATAATGAGGAATTAAATTCGACATTAAAGGAATTTTCTTACGATATACATTTTAATCCACCAGTATCAGAAATAAACATAGAAAATCCATATAACTGTACAGGAGATGACTTAAAAGAATGTAAATTATCAGATTATACTACATGTTTTGGATGTAAAAGTTTAATTTCAACTTGTACACATTTTGATAATGATACAGAATATATTGATGCATATGGTAATAAATTTTTAATACCGGCAAATATAGATCCTGATTCCGGCTATTGTTTATCAACTATGAATCCATCACAAAAATGTAACAGTTATCATGGAAATTTAGTTCTTGTTCAATTAGACTCAAATTCTAAGAATAGTGCTTTATTTTGTGATTGTAAAAATCCTGGCTATATAGGAAAATTACAGTTAGATGGTTCATGTGAAGATGTGTTTATTTGTGATGGTAAAATAAAAGACTTGAATGTGGAATTTGAAAATATTCAATGTGTATGTTCTGATGGATATAAAAGCGAAAGGATAAATGACGTACCAATTTGTCAGATTATGACAGTTCTTGAATATGATAATTATTCTTCTCTGAGATTTACAAAAGATACAATATCGTCATCATTTTTTTCAACAAATATATCTGGTAATTTTAAAGGCGATTCTTTAATAAATCCATGTAAATATTGTATATTGACAGGTAAATATTTAGAAAATGGTCTAATTATTCCTACTGATGACGGTGGATATCAATGTTCTTTAAATAAGCAAAAAAATGAAACTGATTTAACTTGTATACCTATTAGGAGAAGTAAACTTGGACGACTACTGAAAGGAAAAGAAGGTCCAGATGGTATAATTGCAATAAATTGGAAATATATTTTTACGTATGGTTATATAAATAATTTAGATTACCAAAATGCTGTTGCTGTTTTTTATGGCAGTGATAATGAGAAATTATGTGAAACTTTAGAATTAGACAATAGTAAGCTCTATGCGTTTAATTTATATATTCATCAATTACATTATCCCGGACATTTTGGACAGTCTCATTTTACTATTTGGCCAAAATCTTTTTGTACTGCAGTATATCCATATTACCATTGTGAATTTACATATGGAAAACCACCGTATTATGAAAATATTCCTGTAGTTACATTTAATAATACGATTTATCCTATGTATAATGGTATTGATATACCAGGTGCTTTCTTATGGAAAAAAGAACGTTGGAGAGATATGGAATTAAGAGCAAATACTAATATTAGTGCTAGACTTGGTTTAAAGAATAATGTTCCATGTTTTCAAACACATCCTTGGTTTGAAGAAAACGAAACTATAAAATTTTTGTTTTGGGGCTTTGTTCCACAAAATGGAAAAATGGTAGCGTTTTTAACTGATGATTATTATGATTATACTAGTTTTAGAGCTGCGGTCATACCTAGAGATGAAAATACGTGGGTTGATTAAATGGATTAATTTAAAATAGATTAAAGTTTTAATTTAAAGTTAAAATAAATTAAAGTTTTAATTTAAAGAAGATTTTACATTCGTAATTTTTTTTAACACATATAGGGTATAATTTTTTAATTTCTATTAGTGCATTATCTAAATTATCAGTATCTGGTAATTGTTCTAATTCGCAAATTGATGATAAAGTTTCTGAAATATTACTTCTTGAAGAAGAATTACTTTTAATATTTGTTAAAATTTCATTATTTAATAAAGCTATGGGTTTTAATTCAACGAATGGTACAATATTTTTTTCTGTATTATTATTTATAGATAATTTTTTTTTAGTAAAATCTATGTATTTCTTATCGTTTTTTTTCAATATTTTATCTTCGAATAAAACTTTAGTTTCGAATACTTTTGATTTTTTATTTTTTGGATTTTTAATTTTCATTTTAAAAATAAACTTTTGAATTCGAATTTAAAAATAAACTTTTGAATTCGAATTTAAAAATGAACTTTTGAATTTGAATTTAAAAATAAACTTTTGAATTCGAAAAATCTTTTTCGCTAATATTCTTTTCACTATTATCTGGTACAATATCCTGTTTACTTGTACTAGGTAAATTGTTTTGTTTACTGGTACTAGGTAAATTATCTTGTTTATCAATATTATGTTTTTTTTGTTCTTCTAAATTTTTCTCTGATAATTTAATAATTGAATGATCATTTTTTTCTGAAAAAGTGTTTAAATTCGTACCGTTCTCTTTTATATACCCAATTGAATCCTTCTTAATCATATTTAGATTACAAAATGGAAGTTCGTTTACATTTATAAGGGAATATGAATCTATTTGAGATAAGACGGAACAAAAGTTATTATATAATTGATTCGATTCACTTGATTGTGTTTTTACATTTAATATATTTGTTACCATATAATTAAATAAATTTGTGTAATCTTCATTTTTTTGCAAACAATTTAAATGAGCGGATATTTTATTCGTAGAATCAAATTTTTTCTTATTTAAAAACTTCAAATTTTTACTATAATTTGAAACAACTTTTTTGAAATCTATAAAATCATTATTCGATGGCTCATAATTTATTACAGTATTAACGTTACTTTCATTATTTTTAACGATTAATTCTAAATCTGTTATTTGAGTTTTTCTATGTCTTTTATTTGTACAAATAATATTTTTGTTAGCAGATAATGGATTTTCAGAATTTATTAAAGCATTTTTTACGAATAAAGTTCCTAGACCTAATCCACTTGTTCTTATATAATAATAAACATTTTGACCTTGTGGGTATTCATTATATTGAAGTTGTTCTATGGAAATTGGTTTCACCTCAATAATGGATAAGCTATGTTTTCTTGCAATTAATTTCAAAAACGTTAATCTTTCATTCCAAGATAAACAATTAAAATCAGATTTTGATATACCAGTTATACTAATACAATCGAAAAGAACATTTGTACACGTTACATTATTATAATATTCAATAACTGTATAATGTATACTGTTTGTTAAAGCATATGCTGACTGCGTTAAATTTAAAATTTCTTTTGATGTTGTATAAAATAAATTATATCTATTTTTTGCTATTTCTGGGAATTTTTTTATGTCTAAAAGTCTATATTCATTATCATTTATAAAACTTGGTATTTTAAACGCAGAATATTTTATAACAAAACTCATTTCAAGTAAAGCTTCAGTGACAGCTTTTATCTTTGATGCTTTTAACATACCTTTTAATATTTCAGAAATTAAATTTCTCTTTGGTGGAGTGTACCTTAATTTACAAATATGCGTTATTGAATATTGTAAAATCCTAGTAATTTGACATGGACAATATTTTTCATTCAATCTTGCTTGAATATTTTGAAACAATTGTACAAAATCACATTCTAATAGCCATGCCAAATATAATTTATATAAAACTGTTGGACCTTTATTATTATTTTTTGATATTTCTATTTTTTGTTCTAATTGTTGGAGTTTTTCAAAATCATCTTGAAACCTCTTAAAATCTTCTTTATATTTACGAGAATCTTTTTTTCGTATTTTTGAGTCTTTTATCATATCGTTGTTTAATAAACTTTCTGATGTTTTCACTGTTCTTTTTTTCTGAGGAATTTCATATATAGAAGACATTGTACTTTTTCTTTTTTTTGTTTTTTTTCCTAATTCTTCAAAATTTTCATTTTTAGTTTCATTTAATTTTTCTTTACATTCATTATGGATGTAATTATATGCTTTCTTATCGTCTTTTAAATTCATTGCTTGAAGTGTAAAAGTTCTAAATGTAAGATAAAATTCTTCAATAGCAAAGTCTATTAATGCATTTGTTTGTCTGTTTAAGAGGGTTGTAGTATGTATATTATAATCTTTATTAAAAAACTTATTATGTGATTCTCTTTTTTCCTTCTTTTTTGACAGACGCATATCTTCTAAAATTTGAGAATCGTCATTAGTTGGTGATTGTTTATATAAAAATATATATGCAATATGGTAAAACAATACTAAAACTGCACTTTTATATTGTGAATTTCTTCTTGTATTTCTAGATTCATCATCGATATCAGAATTTCTTATAGGTAGTAAATTTTTGCTAAATTTAGATCTTATTTTTTTTGGGTGTAATTTAGAATTTATAATAAACGAAGCCCTCTTTAAAGTTTCAACAGTCTCTATCATTTTTGGATGCTTCTTGAAGTCTTTTAAAAATTGGCGAAATTTCTGAAAAGAAATGAACACACCATTAAACACTTTATTAAGAAATTTGGCAACAATAAATCCTATTAATGTTAATTCAAATTTTTATAATATTACACAAAATCCAGTAATAATAAATAATATAAACCAAATTAATCCTACTAGGTATCCGGATTCACTAATTTCATTTTTAAATGACAAAAAATTATCTTATATAAATTCAAATAGTTCCACTTTAAATGATTTTAATGATTTAAAAAATGGAAAAAATAGAAATGTAAAGTTTATTTTTGATAAACTCTTGGAAAAGGCACCTATAATATATGATATTGAACATGTAATAGATATGCCTTTTTGTTTTTCTTTAATTTCAAACTTAGATGTTTCAAAAAATGAATATTTCTTGAAAGAGAGACTTATTCCATTTTTTAACTTTGATTATGACAAATTCATTGACAAATTTACTTTTTTAGCACCATTTTTATTATTAAATGCATATAAATTATATGCTATGCAAGAATTATTTTCAACAAAAGTAAATAAAATAACTTTGGATGATACATTAGATTTAACGTTTCAACTTACCATACTTTCGCAGTCTGAATCTTCGTCACCTATTTGTCGATCCATTATTTTAACGGAATTATCAAATTTTGATAGTTCCTCAGCCATTGATTTTAAACCGTGTGATTTCTTAAAAATTCAAAAAGTATTACAAGAACCTTTTGATTGGAAACTAGTAAAACTAATAATTAAAATTTTAAATTATTCTTTTATTATAATAAACAAAATTGATAATTCAAGAGTAATCTATAGACCAGAATGTTTAATAAAAGATTTATTCGCAGTTTTCTATTATTATGATAAAAATAATGTTTTATTACATTATAAAAGTTATTAAGTAAAAAAAAATAAAATAGAAATAAAATAATAGTATTAAGTATTTTATACTTTTAAACTGATGTGCAACAACAAAATGAATTATTTTAAAAAATTTCTGGACTATAAATACCCTTTATATTATTCTATATTTCATCTTCAATTTTTTAAATGAATATTCTATTCAATATTGTCTTAAAAAACCTAATAACGTATTAATTTTCACTATATTTTATATTTAAAAGTATTTCTTTAACGTTTATTTCTTAGTAATAACTATTAAAAAAGAACAAGAACAATAATATAAACAGTTTACTTTTTAAAAAGATAATATTAGTACTTTCTGTGTTTTAAATTGTTCTGAAGGTAAAAAAATGGCATCTGTAACTTTAATATATGGACCAATGTTTTCTGGGAAATCAGATAGATTAATAGATTTAATGAAATTATATAACGAAGAAAATATATTAGCTTTTAAATCAAGTATTGATATTAGAAATAAAAATATAAATTCTAGAAATGGAAAAGAACATAAAGCTATTTCTATAGATAATTCAAAAGAAATTCTTTCTTTCATAAATGAAAATACACATGCGGTTTTTATTGATGAATTAAATTTTTTAAACGATGATATTTTAACCGTAATAAATATTTTAATTCTTCAATCTATAAGTGTTTATTTAGCTGGGCTTGATCTAGATTCTAAAGGTGACAGTTTTGGTCCGACCTTAAAAGTAAAAGAAATCTCAAACAATATTATACAACTATATTCAAAATGTTTTGTGTGTGGAAATGACGCAGAATATACTGCTAGATTTATTAATAATAAAGTTGATGATGAAAAAACAGATAAAATTATATTAGAATCAGAAAAAGGTGAAATAAAATATCATCCCTATTGTAAAAATCATCATCCAATTTTAAATAGGATAAATTAATATGAATGATATTTTCGATTCTTTCGACTCTTTTGAATCATTTCAATATTATTATGAGCATAATATAAATAATTTGTTAGAAATTAATAGAAAGAAATCTTTACTACTATTAAAAAATTTTTTTATAAAAATATATTTTCTATCAGAAGATGTTAAAATTAAAATGAAATATTATAGTATATTCATCTATCTAATATTTGGAAGTTGTCTTTTTAAAGTGTGTAATAATTGTAAAATAATATCTTTTAGCAATATTTTAAACCATATAAAAAAAAATGATTTTTATAATTCAGAAAATATTTTTTTTGACAGTAAAAAAAATTTTATTGATGAATGTTATTTTCATTTTATACATTATTTTAACTTTATACGATTTTGTAAACCTTATAAATTAATGATATCAATTTTAGTTAATACTTTATTGTCAGATCTAAAGAAAGAAACTTTATTGTCATTTTGTTTTTTTATAACTGAAAAAAATTTTATGACATTAAATATTTTAGAACTATTTCTATCTGAAATACTACCAACTAAAATGAAAGAGTTGTTTATTTTATCCTGCTTAAAAAAAAACAATATAGAAATAAGTAGACTTTCAAATTCGTATTTATTTAAAAATTTAAATTTTATTTCATATTCAAAAAAAATAAAAATATATAGGGGAGAATTATATGCTTGTAATAAAACTAAGACAAAAATTATAGTGAAAACGAATGATAAAATTGTTATATGTAAATGTACAAAAAATTTAAAAAATAAAATAAACGTAATAATAGATGAAACATTTGTTATTTGTACAAGAAAAATGAAATCTGAATTAAAAGATTCGTTTAAAAATTATAAAAATTTATTAAAAGATATAAAATATATTAATATAAACGAAGATAGAACTAAAATTCGTTTCAACGAAAATAATATGATAATAAAAATAAATTAATTTTTATTATGTTTAATATTAATATATCAAAATATAGTCATAGAGAAATGGATAATCAAGTAATTAGTGATTTTAAAAATGATGATTTCATTTCTTTGATTAAAAACAGAATTATTTCTAGTTTGCCTATACAAGAATTTAAAAAACTAGAAGAAAGTCCATATGAATTTAATGAAAAATTACACTTAAAATTCTTATTAAATATATACTTAAAAATTATAAAAAAGTCTAATATTAAAATAAAAGTTATAGATAATTATTTACAGGAACCTATAACTATGTATATAGATAAAACAAATGATAACTCAATTATTATCCATGATGGTTTTATAGATAATATTTCAACACAAGTCGTTCATTCTATAAGTTTAAATTACATAAAAAAATTTTTTTGTATCGAAATAAATAATAATTTAATAAAAAGACAGGTGAGTAAATGTGAAAAGACATTTGATATTCCAAATACTTTTTTCATTCAATCTTCAAAAGAAGAATTTAGCGATATTAAAAAATATACGATATCAGAAAAACTATTAGAAAAACTTATAAGATTATATATAATAGCTGATCATGCAGCATATCATTACTATTCTTTTGTTAAAAATAAAGACTTTGATTATAAGCATGAAAAAATAAACAGAATTAAAAAGGAAAGCGTATTTTTTTCTCATAATTTATTTACAAATAAACCGTCATACTCTATAAATAATTTTTTAAATAATAAAGAAAATAGTAAAATAGATGTTAAAATAGAAGAATATTTAGAATACAGTAATAAAGCTATAGTTTCAGCTAAAAAACAAAATAGTCCGACTCCAAGAATATCTGATAAAAAAAATAACAGTGAAATTAATGAAAATTCCTCAACTGATTACACTTCAGAAGAAGATTAAATTTAAAGGCAATTTTATTACAAATAATCTATACATTTTTTTTGTCTTTCAATATTTATTCATATAAAGTATGTTTATTATAGGAAATAAATATACGTAGTGAACTAAATATGGATATACTTGAAAATCGAAAAAAATTAAATTTTTTAGAACTTTTGACTAGTTCTAATCTCTTATCAAATTTTAATGACGATATTGTAGAATCTTTTTTAGACAAAGATGAAATTTCAGCAATAAACTATTTAAAATCTATAAATTGTGATATTAAAAATATAAAAGAGAAAGAGATATTAATAAACGATGAAGAAATAAGAGTTCTAAATAAAATATCTCCTAGAACATATTGGACATACCTTGGATTTATAAATTCAACTTTAAATATCGATCCTTTAGATCAAAGATTAATTGACGATGAAAATTATGAGGTTATTTTTAATGATGTAAAAAAACACAATAGTATATTTTTTAAAAATTTTTATTCAGAAAAAACAATGTTGAATTCGTGGACAATTGATGGCTTATGTGCAACTGGTAAATCTTCATCATTCTCTAATATTAAAAAAACAAACAATTATTTAAACTGTATTGGTCAAAATTTACATGTTTCAGGAAATGTGGGATATTTCTTTAGTAGTTTAAAAATAATGGAAAAAAAGGAAGATGTGTTACTTTGGGATAGAACACCTTACAATAATATATTTCCATGGATTTTTATATGGATGATTCTTTCTGATATTGAAAATAATAAAAATCTTTATGAAAAAGAAAAGGACAATAGTTTTCTTGAATACATAAATGAATTTCAAAAATACTTTTTACCGCATAAATTATCTGATTTTATTATAAATAGATGGAAAAATATTTTTTCTTCGTTTCACGCTTCAATATTAGATTTTTATGTTTCACTTAATAAGACAATATTAATAGTTGATAGTAATGAAGAAAGTGCGATTGAAAGATTATCGCGTAGAAACGAAGGTTGCGACAAAGAAAGATCCAAATGGAAATTTTATATAACAATTCAAAATTTTGCTTACATGTATTTGGCTCAAAAATATCCGAAAAATTTTTGTATTTTGGATTTAAATTATTTTAATGGAGATCAAACAGTGATGCAAAATATTATCTTAAAAATTATAACTACATATAATATTAAAGAAGATGAAAAAAAATTGGCAACTAAACGAACTTTATTTAAACCGTTAAGTCCAACGTTTAAAAAAAATACTTATACTAAACAATATAGATTATATGAAAGATTAAGACCAATACAACAATTGAAATTTCATAATAATTTGAAAAAGTTAAATTTATATAATATGATATAATAAATGTAATTGAATTTATTTCTTTTTATGTTATACTTAGTAATATATTATAGAATATTTTATCAAAGAAAATTATATTAAAATGGTTGTTGTTTATGGATTACCTTATACGTGTTTTTTTAAACAAACATTGATTCGTGATTATTCTTTAATTGATACAAAACAAATAAAAAATGAAAATCAGACAGAATATGTAACTATAAAAATTAAAGTGGTTATTAGAGATAAAAATTTTTCTATACGTGATTTCGTTGAAAATAATTATGTGGATAATTTAACTAATTTTAATTATGCGGATATAGAAAGTAGAATTTTCATAATATGCGAAAGTGAATTAACTAGGAATCAATTAAATAGTGCTATAGAAAAAGTAAAAAATTTAAATTTTAAAAATGATTTTATACTGATACCAGATAATTCGGATAATGATGAACCATATTTTAAAAATACAGAGTCTATAAAATATATATATTCTAGTAAACTACAAAAGATTAAACCAAAAAAGGTATATAAAGATTTATTAAGTGCAATATTTGACTATAATAGTCTAATTGTTTTTTTTGGATCTTATTATTCTGACAATTATAATTATATAAATTTAAATTCTAAAGATAATTATTTAGAATCAAATGAAGATTATATTGAATATATAAATTTTCAAAATCGCTTTTTAACCGATAAAATAGAAAAAGCAAAAAGAAATAATAATGGAGATATAATTATATTCGAGTCTTTCTTTATAAAAGAAGTACTACAAAAAGTATTCGTTTTAAATGAAAAATGGTTAGTGTTGTCAAAATTTAATAATAAAGTTGCTATTATAAAGGAAGACAATTTTATATTTTGGTTATTAACATATAAATATAATTTTGCATCAATTACTAATGAATATTCAAACGATGTCCCAGAAGACAGTGCTACTGTTATTAATATGAACAGTTTGAATAAAAATGAAATAAATTATTTAACGGCACTATTTAATAAG